GGGAGAGCAGCTGAGGGAGTTCCACCTCTGGCAAAGCTGGAATTTTCCAGCGAGGACGGGTTTTAATAACCCTCAATGTTTTCCCGGGAGTTTTCCCATCCCGATCCCAATATCCCAACATCCCAACATCCCAAATTTGCCTGTTCCCGCAGACACCATGGTGTGCACGGGCTGCTGCTCCTGCCTGGACCACATCGTCACTTATCTCTTCAAGCAGCTGTCCCGCAGCACCAAGAAGAGAACGACCCCGCTGGCCCAGGAGAGCGACCGCTTCCTGCACATCATGCAGCAGCACCCCGAGATGATCCAGCAGGTGAAATTCCCAAATTCATTCCCAAAATCCCAAAGCGTGGGTGTTCCCATCTCCAGGCGAGGTGTTCGATGGGATAAATGGGGTTAAATGAGTTGCGTTTTGGGATTTTTTGATGGTTTTTTTGCATCTTCTCGGTTGTGATTGCGGGCTGTGCTCCGGGGTTTTGGGATATGGGGTGGGGTATGGGATATTGAATATGGGATATGGGGTATGGGATATGGGATTTGGGGTATGTGGGATATGGGATTTGGGAAATGGGATTTGGGATGTGGAATAATATAGGATAATATGGGATATGGGATGTAGGATATGGGATGATATGGAATGATATGGGATATGGGATATGGAATATGTGGGATAGGATGTGGGATATGGGATAAATGGGATTAAAAGAGAATTTGTTTTTGGGATTTTTTGCCGGTTTTTCGTCTCTTCTCGGTTGTGATTCCGGGCTGTGCTCCGGGGTTTTGGGATATGGGATGGGAAATGGGATATGGGGTATGGGATGATATAAGATATGGGATATGGGATATGGGATGTGGGATATGGGATATGGGATGTAGGATGGGATGTGGGATATGGGATAAATGGGATTAAAAGAGAATTTGTTTTTGGGATTTTTTGCTGGTTTTTCGTCTCTTCTTGGTTGATTCCAGGCTGTGCTCCGGGGTTTTTGGATATGGGATGGGGAATGGGATATGGGATATGTGGGATGGGATGTGGGATATGGGATGGGATATGTGATGTGGGATATGGGATACGAGATATGGGAGATGGGATACGAGATACGGGATGTGCAATATGGGATGTGGGATATGGGATATGTGGGATGGGATGTGAGATATGGCATGTGGGGTATGGGGTATTGGGTATAGGATATGGGATATGGGGATATGGGATATGGGATGAAAGGGCTGCCTTTAACCCTCCTTTCCCCATCCCAGATGCTCTCGACGGTGCTGAACATCATCATCTTCGAGGACTGCAGGAACCAGTGGTCCATGTCCCGACCCCTGCTYGGCCTCATCCTGCTCAATGAGAAGGTGAGGGGTCCATCCCAGCGGGGAGGGGAACATTCCTGGGGACCCCTTGGGATGATCCCGTGGGTGGGAAGGGTCAGAGCCTTTCCTGGAGCTGAGGAACATCCATTAGAAACCCCAAACCCCATCCATTGGAAACCCCAAACCCCATCCATTGGAAACCCCAAACCCATCCATTGGAAACCCTAAACCCCATCCATTGGAAACCCCAAACCCGTTCATTGGAAACCCCAAATCCCATCCATTGGAAACCCTAAACCCCATCCATTGGAAACCCCAAACCCCATCCATTGGAAACCCCAAACCCCATTCACTGGAAACCCCAAACCCCGTTCATTGGAAACCCCAAACCCCGTCCATTGGAAACCCCAAACCCATCCATTGGAAACCCCAAACCCATCCATTGGAAACCCCAAACCCCATCCATTGGAAACCCCAAACCCATTCATTGGAAACCCCAAACCCCATCCATTGGAAAGCACCAGGACCTGTTCCTACTGATCCCAAAATCAGAGCCAGGAGCTGTTCCCTGTGATCCCAAAATCAGAGTGTGGATCTGTTCCTGATGATCCCAAAATCAGAGTGTGGACCTGTTCCCACTGATCCCAAAATCAGAACCAGGACCTGTTCCTGCCAATCCCAAAATCAGAGCCGGGAGCTGTTCCTGCTGATCCCAAAATCAGAGCCAGGAGCTGTTCCCTGTGATCCCAAAATCAGAGCCGGGACCTGTTCCTGCAGATCCCAAAATCAGAGTGTGGAGCTGTTCCTGATCCCAAAATCAGAGCCGGGACCTGTTCCTGCTGACCCCAAAATCAGAGCCAGGAGCTGTTCCTGATCCCAAAATCAGATCCAGGACCTGTTCCCTGTGATCCCAAAATCCCGGGATGTGTCCGTGCTCTGTCCCAAACCCCATTAACCCCTCCGTGCCCTTTCCCCAGTATTTCTCAGACCTGAGGAACAGCATTGTCAACAGCCAGCCCCCGGAGAAGCAGCAGGCCATGCACCTCTGCTTCGAGAACCTGATGGAGGGCATCGAGCGCAACCTGCTCACCAAGAACAGGGACAGGTGGGTGCTGGAAAACCCAAAATGGGGACAAAAACCCGGGAATGGGGACAAAAACCC